TTTGCATTTTTCTTTTATATTGCAGTTAATTTGTGTTCGATTTTTATAATTATTATATTAGTCTTTAATCTTTAACAATAATTTGTAACCTATTAGGTAAAATTTACATATTATACAAAAGTATCACTATATTTTGTTAAAAAAAAAAATAATTTAAAATACAGTATCATAATATTTGTATATTTTTTAAATATAATTACATCATATTTCCACTTTTTTAACCTAAATATCTGGACCAATAGTAATAACTAGGGAATGGATTTTATTGTAATAAAAAAATGAAAATATACACTTATTTTTATTGAAATATGTAAAAAAAATCAAATTATGTAATAACCGCTTAACAAAAAAAAGTAAGTAAAAAATCGTATCTCTTATCTAATTATTAAAACAATGCGAAACTACATATTCTATAAGATTTAAAAATGTAAGATGGCGGCGATTTGGTCGTAAAATGTTTTTGTATTGACTGAATGAACGTTCCACATCAACTGACGTAATGATAGCATACTTCATATTAACTACATCAAGTGGTGTGAGTTCAACATCCAATAATTCTGTTGGATTTAGTCCTTAGTGTATATCTCTAATTATTTTTAAATTTTTCAGTCCTTGATTTTTTTCTATCGCATATTTCCATTATTCTCTTACTACATTTCCTATGCGACCTTGACATTTTTCTAATTTGTTTTGGGATTCTTCAACAATGCATAAACTTTCTGATAAGGACATATTTCGAGTTTCCAGTTGTTTTATAGTATGAATCAAAAAACCAAAATTAGTAGAAATGTATGTTAAATTATTATTTTCCATCGAATTATTTGCTTTATCGATAGCGGTGGCAGTTTCAGTATTTAGATTTGAAATAATATTTTTAATTTTTTTAAAATGTTCACAATAATATTGAGCGGCTTCTAACCACGTACCCCATCTCGTTAAAATAGGCTCTGGAGGTAGATTGAGATCAGGGTATAATTCTTTAAATTTTAAGACTCTACTTGGTGCTTTGAGAAATATTTTCTTAACCGTTGCTATTAATTGGTCTACGTCAGGGTAACAAATAATCTTTCGATGCCATTTAGATAACGTGTAATATTTGGTTGTCGTCAAAAATAACTAATTTTGTTCAATTTAAATCAAAAATTACTAAAATATGTACAAAATATGTAGTTATTTACCAAATATGTAAAAATATGTAAAGTAAAATTGGGCTTATTTTAATAAGAATGATCTAAATCGTGCACATTTTTATCAGATTAATAATATCTCATTTAAATAAAAATATGTATTTACAATAAAATCCGTTACTTAGTAATAACTAATAATTCACTACAAACATGTCAATCATCTATTTTATACTCGCTAATGATCAATGTTCTACGATACATTTAGACTTGAAATTTCAATTAAAGTTATAAAGAAATGTATAAAATTGACATTTTGACTCTAACAAATACCGTTGTTATCTGTGACCATAGGGCATAGTTGCATTCTAATTCATATGTTTGTTGAAATATTTTATTTAAAACATATTCAAAGTTACAATAAGAATATCTATATAAGTCCCATTTAGTAAAAGTTAAATTTGAATACCTTCGTTCTTGTACATTTTATACCAGCATTCCAAAGTACCAGAACTCTCTTTTTATTCCTACTTAGGTGTGTACCACAATACATTTTTTAAATTTACATTGCGTTTTATTTACATTAATTTATATTATTACCTATTTATTATTTATTACATTATTAGCGTTACACTGTGCACTGTGGTGCGGCATCAGTGACAAATAAAAGAACATCATCGTGATGAATGCCTGCAGGCCATAGAAGAAACATTGATTGATCAAAAAGTTTACTTATTGTGGAATAATTTGCTTTATTTAATTCTTTGGAGGTCAATAAAAACAATTTACCCGGTGTATTTTTATCAAGAATACCAATAATCACATTTGCGATATAGCGGCCTTCGCAATCTGTTTTTTCGTCTATAGACACGAATATTTTTTTGCCAATGACATTATTCCTAATATTTTTTATTGTTTCTTCATCTGGTATTTCTTTACCAGTATATTGTGTTAAATATTACGAAATATTGTATTATTTAATTGTGGAAAGGAATGTTGGCTGCTAGAAACGCTTAGCACATATCCATGTAAAATGATGTTTTTTTACCGACCACATTGGAAATTAGTTGCTGTCTGAGTTTGTTTCTGTCGATTAGCTGTACGAATATGTTTAGCCGTCTTTAAATGTTGTTTGACGGTAAAACGACGATCACTTCCAACTTTAGTTTCACACACCTTGCAATATAAAACCAAGCCACCCTTTGAAAAAATATCATTCCCAAACTCGTTGACAAAATGTTTAAGACGTAATGAACAGGATCACTTGACTTTCGGCATATTTAAATAAACGAAAATCAACAGCAGAAAAATATAATACCTACACGTTTTGACTGACACTGCGATTAAAGTCGTACTAATACGTTCACTGGTTGTCGCCGTATACAATATTCTATTATTGCTATAGGTTTAAGTTATCTTATCAAATAAAGTACAATAGTCTAGAACAAACACGATAAGTCTATAATAAACATTTATGCGTGGTAGATTGTACTAACTTTTATATAAAAATTGTGTAATTTTGTTGTTGGTTAATTTAAACTGTTGTTAAAATCTCAAAATATGCAAATACAAAACCATTAAATATGCAAAGTAAAAATAGTATTATTTGATTCAGTAGAACATTTAAACATAAACATCCGAGGCCCAGTTCTCATGCTTGCTGTCATAGCAGCATAGGTTGTTAAATGTCTCAATAATTAGGTCTGTTGCCCTGCTTGCTAAAACTGACATGGGGTTCACTACATTCGCCTCTTCCTTTTCAAGGTGCACAAATGGTCTGTGCTTGTTCAGAACAAGGGATGCCAACTGCAGGGAAATTTCCCTAGATTTAGGGAAATATTTGTAAGTCAAGGAAATGTTAGGGAAACAGGGAAAACATCCAACAAGTTGGGGAATTCGGTAAAAAACTGATCTCTGGTAAAAATATAATACAATTTAAAAAAATTACGTTACAAAAGGTAATGGGTCGCCATGACAATGTTTCGTACCAAGTCGGCAGGGGGTTGGTATCATTCGCGTCAAAAATTTTGCCGTCACGTCGTACGTTCCTAACCTAACCTTCATGGCTTCATTCCTTCATCGTTGCTCTTTTTCTTTTTGAGTCTTTTTCGCGTAACGTTCTGTTAATCTGTTCTAATAAGTAACAACACAAACAACATTGAACGCAAACTTTTTGCAATTTTTCTGACTTTCTCAGTGTTCTGTACTCAACACGTGTGACGTACTGACGTGTTACCTTGACGACGCATCAAAAATGTCAAGTGACGGTAATGAGTACGAGTATGAAATGTCAAGAAAAAAAAAAGAAATTGTTATCGTCAAAAATACTGTAAGGATTGGGAAAACGAAACAGGCTTCAAAGGGTGGTTAGCCAAGAGCAAGAAAGGTACAATTTACAAAGAAATATTAAACTGCTTTATTAAGAAGGAATACATAAGGAACAAAAAATATCATGAAATTAATTATAATAATCCTAGCTTATATTTATCTGTAAATGACATTTATGTCGGCGGAAAAGTTTCAGCTTCTTTAACAGTATTGCTTGCAGAAAAATTAATTACAATCAAACAAGTAGAAGAATTTAAAACTCGCTGTCTTGGATTCTATGTTGAATCTGTTAATCAAATAACTAAAAGATTTAATTTTAGATCAATGCAGCCTCTTCAATACCTGAAGGTGATAGATCCAAAAACCATTCAAGAAAATCAAGTTTCATCCTTAGGACCCATGACGTCTCAATTTCCAATTTTGTTCAAAGGAATTGATTTGGACAATGTTGACAAAGAGTGGAGGAGATTAAATTGTATGGATTTCGAGAAAGATGAATGTCAAGAAATGGAGTACTGGTATAAGGTGATGACCTTAAAAAAAGGTGATGGCTCAATAATGTTTCCTGCATTAACTATGTTAGTGACACATATAATGACACTTCCCCATTCCAGTGCTTCCGTTGAAAGAATTTTTTCGATGGTAAACACCATCAAAAATAAAGATCGCAATCGTTTGAATACAGAAAAATTGATCGGACTGTTACAAACTAAAAGAGCATTTAAAGATTCGGAATGCTACTCTTATGATTTTGATGACAATTACATTAAATTATCAAAAAATGTATAATTTTAAAGAATAAGTTCTTAAATAAGTTAAATAAGTTCTTAAAAATTGTTAAAAAAGTTGTTTATTTATTTCCAAATTAAAATATATGAATTATGAACTGGTATATAATGTTTTTATTATTATACATATTGGATATTATGTATGATTTCGATACATATTACATCATCATTACAATGTTTAATAAACTATTTATTATATTATATTATATAACCTACAGCAGAAAACTATAAAAAAATTATTATTTTTGTTGTTACTGTTACAAAAAAATTGATTAATATGAGTGCCAGTTGGTACATATTAACTTATAAGTTATATGCTAATAATTTTAAGCAACTGTTTTCAACTATCAAATATCAATTGTTATAAACAAAACCGGGTAGATTAATTTAGATGTTTAATTTGTTTAAAATATTTTGATTTAAACATGTCAACTCTGTATAAATATGAATTTGATGGTAGAGAATTTCTATATTCTATGTGTATGGCTGGTTTGGTTATTTTTTATAGTTGTATTCACTATTCTATTCAATTCATTATTCGGTAAAATCAGTTGGCAGACCTATATTTTAGTATTAAGTTATAACTAAAATATAATGATGAAGGTATTAACTGGGAAAAATTCATTTTTGTGTTTAATGTAAAAGGACAAAAAGAATAACAGCTCCGCTTTTAAGTTCAAGACATAACGAGGTTTTATTAATATGTTTAGGTTGAGTATTATATAAGGATTATGTATGTTAATATTTATAGACACATTGCTCAAGCTCGATCTGCTTCTGATTTGATGAGGGTTTTGATGAACACTTCATAAAAGCCCAAAAATTTAGCTAGTACTGACAAGTCTGAAGCATGTCCCCTCAGCATAGAGAATAACTCGTCCCGGGAATTGTTGGATAGCCCTATTGAGTCCATATGTTTCTCGAAAAGCCCTATAGCAGATGCTGTCTGACTAACTTTCGTAGCATCATCTGCGATTTGTGATAAGGCATCTCTAGCTTTTTTCATTTCGTCTGTCACCTGAATCATCGTGCTAGATGTTGACAAGTGCTTATACATGTCGTCACACACTGTTAGATTCCATTTCTTTGCGATCTGACTTAACGCCGCAAGCTCACTTTTCTTCAACAGCATTCTTTTACTTATATCTACCAAATTAGAGCCCATAGAGGAAACACTCATGAGATTCTTATCTCTTGCGTTTGTGTTAACCTCTCCTTCTTGCTCAACTATTGTACCGGAAGTTGATGGAGCAGCATAATCCAATTGTATCGATACCGATTTTGTATCCTTTCTTGCCATAAGAGTGTTTACTTTGTACACTCTCTGCTGACGCAAAGCCTCGGCTACCTGGGCGCTACTCATCATAATTTCCGCTTTCTGGCTCCCAGACGACATGGGCCGTTCGTCTGGTCTCTCAAGGCTTGTTGGTGGTTTGATGTAAGAAGACCCGGACTGTAAAGACCGTTGACGGTTTCTTTCTATCAGCTTCTTGCGCAATGCAGCCATATTATCTGATGCTCCGGCACTTGGCGGTTGTGATGCAGGAGTGGTTATAGACTGTGGCGGAACCGTTTGGGGTATGTCAGCAGATATGGGTGGTTTCGGTACAGTTCTATTTGAGTTGGTATACACCAGGGAGTCCACTACGATATTAGTAGTCTGAGAGTTCGGCAGAGTAACCCTCAAATGAGCCATCTGGCTAGTTAAGTCCTTAATTGCATCTGACATTTCGTTCAATGTAGCTCTGTTCCTCTGAGCTTCTTCAGTATGCCGCTGAGTCTCAGTCCCTACTATCTCTTCGAGAAAGCGGAACCTATCTTTCAACGCCTCGTTATCATTGCGCAGCTTCTGTAGCTCCTTCTTCACTGTATCGCTCATTGCTGATACCCATTTTGTCGTGTTTTCTCGCCCTTTCTTGATGTCTTCTACATCTGTTAGTAATTTATCTATCAAATCATCACCTTGCTCGTTATCACTGACGCCATTTCCTACGGGTTGCGACTGTTGTATTTCTCCGTTATTTCCTGATGTGATGTTAAGGAGAGAGCTTTGATTATTGAGTTCATCTAATCCATTAGTTGCATCAGCACTGGTGTTCTCTTGATTAATAATGGAAGATAGCTGTGGACTATGGCATAATATTTTTAGCCCTGCGCTCTGTTCTTGCTCCTGTACTATATCTTCTTGTTTCTCTATCTTCCCCCCTTTAGCAGTGAATTCTGTCTCATCTGTCTCTGCCGGTATGTCAACGCTTCTCTCTACTAGATGTTCATCTAAGGGTGACGTGCTCAAGAACTCACCTTTCAATAACTTTTTCAGTTCATCATCAGTCGGCTGTACTGACACAGAAGCACCGAAAGTACTCTGACTAGCAGACGAACCCATCTCACTTGTTTGAGGAACTATCTCAGATACGTCTTCGATTTCTTTCGTGTTTAGATCTGATTGACCATTAACTCTGGTATCCTCAGATGCTACCTTGATGTCTTGGTTTTTTAATAAACTATCATCATCTATAAGTGCTTGGATAGTACCGTCACTAGGGATGTTCAGGGTCGCTGCATATGACTTTTCGATTCTCGACTTATACTTCTCGGGAAGGGCATAACCTAATACGTATATGATATAATAATTGAAGAAGTTACTAGACCTATCAAATATACCATGAGATATTTCGTTAAACTTATCCCAAGCAACCTTATTTTCTGATGTTATTCCTGTAGCAAATGCCTGTGATCCCAAATCGAGTAGAGTTGGGTGCAATTCTTGAACCCGCTTAAGAATAAGCGCGTGAAGGCTATCATGCCCTTTATTACTGTTGCTCATATCGTAACCATCACCTTTTTGGAAGCCTTCATCCCGGTTATCCATCTCATCTTTTTCTTTCTCTTTGATGGATTGGTTCACTTGGTCGATTTCTTCGTTTATTCCATCCAGAGTTAGATTCTTGTCATCGTTTGACTCATCTACTGCCATTTTTGATTGTGTGACGAGTGACATTGTTTTGGGGATCACTTTTTGCTCAGGTAAGTATAAGCCGCCGGTTCCGGTCGAGCTCACGCTGTCTTTTCTCCTCTTGATTTTGATTCCTTCTGTATAACCAGAAACCTTCTCTCTTGTTGCTTCTACTATGATGGAAGATAACTTCTCTACAATGTCTGGTTTCTCGAGATCGTCAAAGGAATACTTCCCGAATGACTCGATTGGAAAGGTGTCCAATATCGTAGTTGAGTTCACTTTCGCGACTATTCTATCGATATTTAATACTTCTTCGACCTTTTCTAATAATGTATTATACTTATCAAGATTTTCTACTGGTCGTTGCGGCCTGTTATGACTTTTGCTGATCTGCGATCGGCTATTTCCTGAAGAGTTGTTGTTCTTATTATATTTATGACTCATAATATATAACTAGAAAACAGTACTCTAGAATTGTAACTTAATCGCAGGCTTTAGGGGGGGGGGGCTTATCAGGCGGGGAAATATAGGGAAATTTTGATATCAATACTAGGGATATTTAAAAAAATGAGTTGGAATCCCTGAGTCTGTTGTTCTTAGTCTCACAGGCCACGTCGACCATCATGGAGTCAAACCACTCAGAGTATGTCCCATTTTCTGGTTGCTTATCTTCTGGCTGTCGGATTCTTCGCTTGCGCCGTCTCTGTACCTTGCCTTTGCTTTAATGCCTAGTGACTTCCTTAGGTTGATAGTTGATGCAGATTTGGCTAATTCTTTTTGGCCGATGAACTTTAAATTAGTCCTCTTTCCCCTCGTTGACCACATTTTGTACACCTCCAGGAATGATAGTTCATTCTCTTTGCTGTTAGCTACGTTTGCCAGGTCTCGAATGCTTGAACTGGCCATGCAGCAGTCCAATATGGACACATCCGAGTCACCATTTAAAATCACGTTTCAAACCATCACTTGTAATGAGACAAAACGGAGTGACCAATTAAGTGGCGCACTCTTGTGTTGTATCATCAACCCGTTCATTTATGACTACCGCCGCGAGCTCACGCATTCGCGAAACGCCACCGGCCGACCATAAAACGTAACATACATGCCTACCCGAAATACAGATAGCGGTGCCCCGAATCGGATTGCCGTACGCCGCCCGCAGTAAAATCAAGTTTTCATTATGAACCAAACGAAGTAGAAGCTTAAAATAAGTGTATTCAGAATCAGCGGATTCAATACTATAAGTTTCTTACTTTCACACACTTCAACGCATCACCGAAACAATCAAACAAGAAGAAGTGTCAATCAATATTTTGATCGGGACCCGCTGCCATTCGAACCACAGATATACTGGCCGCTGACCGCCGATTCAACGACGATTCTCCCCGCTGAGCTTGGACGACCTGCGAGCCGGACAATATTTGCGCTGCTTTTAGATGCAAATATTGTAAAACGGACGCAGATCTTCCCGCTGTCAATAGCACACCGCCCCTCAGACTGAGTACGCCGGACAATAATATTTATCGTAATACGGAATACTCAGCTGTCTGACCCGGCATCACTGTACTCTACCACCTTCGAAGTGGGTCACGAGACAGGATACTGTTGTACGCGTCTCCGACGGAGAGTGTTGCCAGACGTACGATAATTATCGTATTTGTACGATATTTATTGTTCATGTACGATGTACGATAGGGGAAACGTTATCGTACGCGAAAATACGATAATTTTGAAATAACTGTGACGATTTTTATAATATCGATAATCGATAATATTTCCCTAAAACCAAGAAGATATCGATATTTTTTTAAATATACAAATAAACTCATACGATTGGCCAGCCGAATGGGTGCAATTATTGTTATTTGATTTTTTTTCTAAAAAGGGTAAAACAACAATTCTTAACAACTAATAAGTATTGTTTTTAAATATTGAATACTTTATGAGAAAGCCATTTTATTTTATTATTATTATATAGATATTTAAACTATTATTATTTGAAAACTTTTTGCAAAATAAGTTTGAAATTATAATTAAATAAAAAGAAGATCGTTATAAGTGTTTGTTTCTTTAAAAAAAAAAAAAAAAAACAAAAAGGTTTAGAGATACTATTCTTCAGATCTGTGAACGAGCATCTAGCGTACATAGATATTCGATAATAATATTATTTTTGTTGTACTTTGACATGAAGGGTCAGAGGTACTAAGATAGCTGGCTATTAGTTTGTTGCTTCGGAGTGTTATCAAGTACCGCTCTCTTATCATTTGTTGGACAACTGCGGTTGCTGATTGTCCACAGTATGCGAGCGTAGCGAGCGAAAATATTTTCGTTTGTACGATTTTTTTTTTTGAAAAACGATAATTATTTAAGTACCTACTTTACGATAATGTTAGTTTGAAAGTCTGGCAACACTGGACTCTCCGTCACCTGAGCCGAACCAGCCAGTTTCCAGAGGACCACCGTACAACCCACACGTACCGGGCAGACCAGGAGTCATTCAATTCATCCGTCGTCAACATACTATCAGTATACCACCATCAGAGCCGCGTCACTGCTGAAACACCGGTTGCTACACTCGTATTAGAGACATCGCAGATTACAGACTTTATATCGGCCGATAGTTTAGTCGGGTTCTTAATCAGTACAAAGTTGTATGCAAGAGCGCACATTATAACGATTTAAAATCGGCCGATAAATAAGTTTGATGGACTACACGATTGCCATTGTGGTTTGCCCAAGTACCCTAAAGTTACGTAATAAATATAACACCGTAATATTACCTCGTATAATATTATATTTATTAAAGGCACCACATATATTGTATAAAACAATAACACACTAATATGCGCTACGCACACGATATAAAACTTAGAAAATAAGATACATATAATATAATAAAGAGCGGAACGCTCGCACACTTTTTGTGACTGCACGGCGGCGGACGCGGAACAACTAACTAGAATAATAATTAATAATTGATACAAAAATATAAATAATATGATTAATACTGACTTTACGATACGCGACGAGCAACGGTCGTCATTCGCGACAACTTAATTAAAACTATATAATATATACATGAACATTATGCAACGGATACATTAATGATGTTACATAATCAAAAGATTATAACTACAATAAGAATAAATATAAATACTAATAATCATACCAATCAAACTGAACTGTTGGTCAACTATCGGCCGACTGCTTAATCAGTATGGCGATCATTTCACGCGCGCACTCTGCCGATTCACCAGAGATTTGGAGCGGGAAGGTAGTACGTTGTCGCATGGTGTCGATGCTCGTGGAAACGTCTATCGAAAATTTGATAGAAGAAATTGAAAAGAGACCAGCACTATATAAAAAACAACTTAAAGAGTACTCTGATATAAATCTGAAGAAAAAACTATGGGAAGAAGTTTGTGAAGTAGTTATTCCCGATTGAAATGAGCTTGGTGCCCAGGAAAAAACAAAACAAGGTAAGAGCAATGGCATGAGTGACATCAATCAAATTCATTATCAAATGAAAAATAATAATCTACTAATAATACTCTAAAATTATAATTATAATTACGTATAAGTATAATAATAGTATAATAGATATAAATATACGTACAATAGATACCAAATTTTGTTAAGTATAAAAAACGTTTTTAAAAATAACTACTACTTATATCAAAGTTTCCACGACACAGCGTTGCGATAACGATGTCGCAGTGATTATTTTATGTATTAATTTTAATCTAGTTTTAACAAATCATACAACATCAGCTTACAGTTAAAATGATAGAGTATACACTATAGTAGAATTAGATAATGTATAGTTTTATTTATTAGATTACCTAACATACAAATTAAAAAAACTAAAAAATTATTAAATGTAGATAATTAGTTACATAAATAACTTAAATTATAATAATTATAATAATACAAAAACTATATTACATTATAACTATAATTAAAATGAGTGAGTTTGTTTTATTAATTTACCTATAGCCAAATAGTTGTTAGTTATTACACTTTGTCATATTGACATGAAATGGCGCCTTCTGGAGAAATAAAATATGAAGACATGTACTGTCGCACACTGTCCATATTATTTCTCCCACGGTTGTTTTCATTAATTATCGTTAAGTTATCCATGGGACAATTGTAGAGAGTATCTGTAAATCTTACTCCATCTTTGATACTTACATAATTATGAAGAACACAGCAGGCTTTTATAATACGAACACAAAAATCGATATTCACATCAATTGGACGGTGAAATATACGCCATTTGTTTGCAAGAATCCCAAATGTACACTCAACCACACGACGAGCTCTTGTATGTCTAAAGTTAAAAATTCGCTTGGTATAGTTTAAATTTCTTTTTGCATAAGGTCTTAAAATGTGATTTCCAAGTCCAAACGCTTCATCACCAACGACAGAGAATGGAATGACATTTCCGTCATCATCATTTGGCAAATGCCTCCCGGAGGGAATATTAAGCTGGTTTTCAGAATGCCGTTTTCACATTTCAAATGTTTTAAATATTTCTGAATCACTAGCTGTTCCATAAGAACCAACATCTATGTAAACAAATTTATAATCTGCATCTGTCCAAGCCATTAAAACGCAAGAGAAGAATTTTTTGTAATTAAAATATGATGTTCCGGAATGTTCTGGTTGTATCATCCTAATATGCTTGCCATCTATCGCTCCAATGATATTGGGAAAGTTTGTGCGAGATAAAATTCGTCAGCAATTTTAATCCAGTCATCTTCTTGTTTGATTGCCATAAATAACGGTTGAAGTATGTTCCATATTTGCTCACATGTAGATTTAGTTATATCTCGTATTGTAGAAGCTCCCATTAGATACTCAAAAGACAACGAGCCAAATATCTGGAAAGAATTAATTATAATTAAATATTTATTATATCATTGAATTCAAATTTAATAGTTCCATACTGTACAGCAGAGCGACATCCACTTACTTACCCGCTTTTTTGTATTTCAAATACTTTCAAATACTTTTTGATCAAAGTGTTTTAAATATAAGTTATAAGTTAAAATATTGACAAAATACGTAATATAATGACGAAAATTTGCAAATCATTTTGTGTTGGGAATTCATAAAATTTTTTTTACTTTTAAATCTAAGTTTGAAAATGTAATACAAGATTCCTCATAAGTTTGTCTACCTTTATAAAAAAAAATGTCTACAAGAAATTCACATTAAATGTTAAGTTCAAAATTTGACAAAATTTATCAAAGTCTCGAACATTATTATTAATCATCAGAATTAAAAAATTATAAATTATTCAGTTTTTATAACTGAGGATTGAAAATTTAAAACAAAGATCCTCATAAATAGTTCATACTGTAACCAAAAAATTTAATAAATAAATTAATTCAGTTTTTTTTACAGATATTTTATATTCAATTGTAGACTAAATTACATATTAAAACCAATAATAACGATTTTGGTTAATTTGTTGTAATTTAAAAATATTATTCATGGATAGGTATATGAAACTTTTAGAGTAAATTGTTATATTTTATACACACAATGAAATTTTCAAATATAATTTTTTTGGTCAATATATATTGTACTTATAATTATATTTTCATTATTATTATTCAGGTCATGAAGTGCAAAATAATGGGCTAATTTACGGACTGGTTTTCGTAGAGAATTAAACACCCAAAAAAACACAAAATCAGGACAAGCTGCAACTAAAAGGGGCGTAAATATGTGTATTTTGAAAAATTATTATTTTTACTTCCTTGTATGGAAAATCGGCGAACAGAAGGTAACCTGGAACCAAATGATTCTCATGAAGACGATGACGACAACGACAATAACGACACTGGACCTACCACTTCAACACCTATTCCTGATCGGAAAAAGAGGACTAATGTATCGAAACCAGACGAGTTGGACGAAGCATTAAATCAACCGGTTGGTGAAGATACAAATTTTGCTTTATCTCTTGTCCCATCACTCCAGAAATTAAACGCAGAAGAAAAACTCGATGCTAAAATTTTTTATTCTTAACATTTTTAAACAAATAACACTAGCAAGGCGTTTTGAGACAAGTTCTCAATTAACAAGTAGCTACAATGTCTTACAGCGACCGTTGTCTTATCCTGTATATCATCCAGGGAGTAACATCATGCCACCACCACAACTATCTCAGCATTCAAATTATACGTCCAGTTTTACCACACCCCACAGTTTGCCTACGTTTCAAGATATTCAAAATACTCCATCGCCAGAAAATTCTAATGATACAGTTCGTTCCCATTTTTTAATTTTCAGATGATACGGAAATATATGACTTATGAACATTGTAATAATATTATATATATTATATTATATTTTTTTCAATATACTTAGTTTTGCGGTTTTAACTTTAATAAAAATAATAAAAGAGAATTAATTATTTTTGTGGTTTATCTTACCGTATCGTAACACTCAATATTTCTTCCACAGGTATAGAGAGTCTTAACTGTGTATTCTCCTTCGCTATTGCTGGTCCAATTAATTTGACGAGTTCATTGAAGCTTGTTATGCTCATACGATAGTAGCCAAAGAACTTTTCTGGGAAATTCAATAATTTGGAATGCAATGTATGAAATTTTCCATGCAATAATCTACTACTATAGATTGGATGCACCCAATATTCTCTATTTCTCTTCATAATCCGTCGTCGTTGTATTAACGCAATAATAACATTTCTTGACAACATTTTTAAACGAAAGGTATACTAAAAATCGACTACTATCGTCAGCAGAATTCAGTACAACTAGAAAAATCTTTCCAGAGCAGTCAGCCGACTAGCCAAGCTAGTTTGCGTACTCACCACCAACCAAACTGTTTAGTTGGCCCAGTGTGCGCGATAGTAGCCCAACCCGACTAAACTATCGGCCGATATAAAGTCTGTAGTCTGCGATGTCTCTTACTGCGTGGTCGATCGTGCCACAGTCCGTGGGAGCTCGCCGCCATTCGAGCCGAGCCAGCCAACCCCGAGAACTTCCGAACGACACCCGTGAGTACATATTATAATACACATTCCCACCCATTATAATATGTTATCCCCAAAGACACTATTTTTATTTGTAAACTCGCAAGAGTATAAAATATTATATAATTTAATACTGTAAATCAAGTATTAATTTGTATGTATTTAAAATTACGTATACACGTTGAACAAATTATTACACCACAAAATACAGCGTTCCGATTTTCATTACACACTTCTGTGAGTATCTTTCCATTCCATTCTACTAATTTGCAATTTCGCTTTGGCGGCGGTGATGGACTGGTATGGTGTCCGCGGGAGGCCGGTCGTACCTTGTGGTGTCGAGTTGAGTAAGAGGGTAACACTAATAATAATGGAACACTCTTGTTTCGGTGAAAATTAAAGTCCGCGGGGGGACGTTTATTCGTGTTACAGAAAAAAAAAACATTATTAAGTATCCACATGGAATGTAGGAATATTCTATGGTCTTAACAAATATGAAGTAACGAACGTGATCTTTTTTCCACGGTCGGCGAACGAGAGAGCGAGCCGCCAATGTTTTTTTATCTAGTCAGCGGGGAAAATATGACAAAATTACCGTACTTATTAATTTTTATTTGAGGTTAGAATTCGAACTATTGATTAAGGTTATCAGTTATAATTTCTTATCACGGGCCGGATTCTTATCAAATTCTTATTAAATATTAATTATAAAATATTGTTAACATAACAATCTAAAATCTGCAGGCAAAAACTTATAATGGGTTATGGATATTATATTATAAAATGTAAATCACATTTTTATGCACATGTCATTGTAAAATCAATACATTCAACTTTCTGCTTAGAATCTAAAATTATTAAATGGTTCAAGCAATACATGAATGAATAATAAAACATACATTTACAAATAAACATATTATATAAAAAAAGTTAGCAATTATCACATCTTGTCACAATATAATATGTATGCCTGTGAAATTAAAATATGTCATTGGTCATTATTGTTCTGGGATCACGTAAAGTATAAAGTATAAATTAATTACAGACAACATGATAAAAATTCAAAAACAAAAATTACATGATATTAAAAATTATTAAAAATTATAGTTATGTTATTATAGTATCACTATAATCAGTTATCACTGTTCACTAATCAATTATAGCTTCAGTTACGTCAGTTACCAAGTTTTCTTCTTCGACCACATATGTTGTTCTATTGTACATTGTGACATTCGTAGAGTTTATCCTAGATTTTGTTGGCTCGAATTTTACACAAGACGTTCTTTTCATTAGTTCGGGGTAAACTTAATACTTTTAAGACGAAATGTACAACATTTTTAAAAATAAATTCCCCTTCATGTTGCATATTATATAAACGAACCAAAACTCAGTATTTTTGGTTTGCCTTGATATCATCAGTGATTTCTAAAGCATTCAACCTTCTCCATTCATCATCAACCGTTTGTATCTCCGAGTTATTATATGCAATTAATATTCTAGGAACTTCATTAAAAATTGTAACTAGTGAAGACAGTTTGTTGTTTCCTAATGCATTAATAGGTTGTAGTTGAGTTATTATTTTTAAAATCACACACTTAAAATGAAACCTAGAATTTTTATAAAACACAAATTAGATGTAGGTAAATAATGGTAAGTTAAAAAAACTATATTTTAATTTTACCTTTTTTTTATTTGTTTACAGCCTTCAATTAAGAATTGTCTACATCGATCATGGAATACAGATAACATATCCTTATTACTACTAATATCTGATTGGCTTGTCATCTGTAAAACACCTATCCCCAAATACATGTCATTAGACTGAAGAAAAAGTGTTGAATCATCTGGATCCACATCCAACGGTTTATGGGTTTATGGACTTTCTTCATGTATGAAAACAATAACTCTAATAATAGCAAGCAAGTAAATCTTAAATTATAAATTTATTTCTAAATGTTTTTGTAAAATAACTAGACTATTTTTTAACCTGTGTAGGTTTCTTCCATTTTAGAATATAGTATGGCTATAACACTTTTCTCGCTTTGAAAGAGTTTGTTCAAATTAACAAATTTTGGTAGAACCCATTCTAAAAATTTAAAAAAAAGTAGTAGAAAAGGATCATGTAAGCAATTATATATGTGTTCTCCACTTGTTACGCGCTCATCAAATCTGTGTCAATGAATATAGAATATAGTATACTTATGTTTTTGGTTATATATACAAGGACCAATGGCAAATTAAATACAAACCTATGCACAGTGAAATACATTTTGAGTGGTTGCCATTGTTCTAAAATTCGACTGACCACCATTTCTAAAGATAGACAACCAGTTTGACATGGCCGAAGCAAGTGATGTGGCTCTACAGTACAAAAATCTTGAAACTCTTTCAATTGGGCATATCTCTTACAACTTGACTTAAAAAAGTTGTAAACATCGTCTAAGAAATGTAAACATTCCGTTGAAGTTACTGATTTTCGAATATCATCCAATATCCATTCAAAAGTTACACGATTTTATTTTACCAGCAAGTTCATCTCTTTCTTCTTTTGACAGATGTAAAAATTTCATATTTAATGCATAGCCAACATGGGTTCTTCTAAATTCTACTGTTATGTACCCATCAATATTAGTTGTTGTCATTCCAGCAGGACAAATCTTACCAGTTTTGTGACTTTGTGACCATTTCATTCTCTTCCCTGTGCCTGTTGTTCGAGAAGGTTCCTTGTCAAATACAGTGAAGGCTTCTGGTCGCATTCTTACAAACCAATTTCCAAATACATACTGGTACATGAAACTATGGAAATATTCGGCTATTTCAGTATGTTGTACAATATACATGATAATATAATTGAAACCATCTAACATGCTGGGAATCCTATTTTTATTTGAATTAGGTGGTAAATACGGCAGAGCAAGTACCTGTAAAATGTATGGTTAAGCTACTGTATTTTAATATGTTCATAGCATAATTAAAATGTGGTGAGTACCATTCTAAAAATTCTTGCAGCAATAGGATTGGCTTTTACCAAATTGTATATGCCTAATTCTTTATTTCTCAGGTGCCGTAAAACTGACTTGAGACAAAACATTGAAAATACATTTTTATTAATTTGTATAGGAACTTAATATATTAATTTATACTTGAAAATAATGGAAATAGCATCCTTTATGGCTACTTTCCAGAAATACTAATCGTATTGCATTAATTAGTCCAACTTCAAAATCAGTTATGATGGTCAATTTATCATATTGTAGTGGTAAAACATTACGGACACATTTAAATAACCCTACATATATTTCTTCAGTTTTACCTGTAAGTATCGCATATACCATTGGAAAACTCTAAAAACATAAATAGTTGTTAGTTAAAATGTTATTAATATTAATATTTTAAATAGATACTAAAATGTTCAAAACAAGATGATTTATTGTGTGATGTACAATTTATTACTTACAACATTTCTGCGTATCACTTGGAAGGTGAATAATTGATAGCAGTCGTTACACAACGTTTTGGGAACCGTCTTGAATGTTCCGTCGCACCCAGATATTGTAACTTAAAAATTAATTTTTTAGAAAGTCTTCTATTATTTCTTCAACCAGACTAGATGACTTACATTATGTAATTCCTTTTCAATTGACTCAATATGATGTTTATTACAAAATAGTACACCATCAAACGAACCATCAACAATGAGTGGGCCTTGATAAAATCTGGGGTAGGTAACACAAAAAATTAAAGAGGTATCTACAGTTATTAGAGCAAGGACTTTCATGCACTAAAAAATCATCAAATATGCACTTATACATCAAAAAATTAAAATTATGCGGTTAAATATGCCCTTAAAAATTTAATTTTATTATTATTCTATATAAGTTTTAACTAGATTTATGTTATTATTTATTAAATTGATTTGGAATCTGTTTTGAATGTTGGATCCCATTCTTCTTAATTATTATTCTGCACCTAATAAAACAAAATAATTTATGAATTATTCTCAAATATTTACCTTACCTAAATTAGAATTGCACTAAATTATTAACATTTCTTTGATATTTTCAAATAGCAGAGAACGTCTTTTATCTGTCAGCAGGTTCTTATATTGCGAAAAACTTCGTTCGACGTCCACTGACGTGATCGGTGCATATTTGAAGTAAACCATTTCACTAGCATTCAAATCTCCGAATTCATCAATGCCATTTAAAATATTTGAAATTATACGAAGCGTATTGAAATCTTTGTTTTTTTCTGTTACTTTTTTAAGTTTTTCCACTACTGATTTTATACTCTTCGATTGTGTATCAATTATGTTCATATCGTCTATAATTTTGTTTAAAATGTTAATTGAATCGACTAGTTTTAATCAACGTTTTTCAAGCTGGGTAATCGATTTAGATATAATTCCAAAGTTCGCTGTAATACAAACCAAGTTTGCGTCTAATTGTTGGTCATCCAAAATATTTTTTACTTTTATAAAAAGCTGAATCGTCATCCAACTTCATAAAAACATTTCGAATGCTTTGTATATGTTTACAATAATAGTATGTTGCATCTAACCACGTCCCCCAACGATTAATTATAGGTTCAGGCGGGAGAATTACTTCAGGAGCTTCGTTTTTAAAAATTTGGACTCGATATGGTGCTTTTAAAAAAGTTTTTTTAACATTTGAAATTAGTTTGTCTACTTTTGGAAACATGTTACGAACCTCCTCTGCAACCCTGTGAAGACCATGAGCCAAACAAGTGATGTGTACCATTTTAGAATAAAAAACTTTTATTACAGATGCCGATTTAACCATATATGGTGCTGCGTCGCTAACAAAAAGTAAAACATCGTCATGCTGAACACCGTTGGGCCATAATAAAGCCATTGATCTATCAAATAACTTTGCTATTGTCGAGTGATTAACTTTTTCCAACACCTCAGATGTCAACAACATAATTTCTCCAGGACAATCAATTTCTAGTGTACCAATTATTACATTAGCTACATACCTTCCATTTCTGTCGGTAGTCTCATCAATTGACACCCATATTTTTTTATCCTGGACAGTGACCCTTTTTTTATCCATTGTCTGGTTGTAACAATCGTTTACATAATATGTTCGAAGTGTCGATTCGTCAGGAATATCTCTTAACATATATTTTTCTAAAAAACTCTTAAAATAAGTGTTTTTTAGTTTATAGAGTGGTATATTTGCAGATAGCAAAGTTTTACATAAATCTGAATTGAATTCCGATAATTTTGATTTTTGATTTGTAACCAATTGTTGCACATTATTTGTTTTATTGTTTTCTAAACGTGCTGCACTTCTGATGTGTTTGTCAGTTTTTAGATGTTGTATGATACTAAAACGTTTTTCACTTGCTACTTTCCCGTTACAGATTTTACAAAATAAAATGAGATTATCCGTTGAAAATACAGATTCACCAAACTCGATTACAAAATTACGCAAACGATAAGCTTTTGTCGATTTTTCTTTTGACATATTGATAGAGTGACAAAAATTACACACGAACGTTATAGGAAAATTAAACACGAAACTTTAACACACACGCGGTGAATGTTCTAGAACTAATGCGAATCTAATCTACCCACTGACTGTAGACACTTGATACTATCGTGTTTATACCACGTACCTACTATTCGTTAAAAATACAAAAATAGACATAATAAATACCTACTGACCTACTGACCATTATTATTATTATTTCAAGATAACGTTTATCTTTATCGTCTTTATAAGTTTATAACAATTGTTGACCTCAGTTCATGAAAAATATTCACCAAAGCGCTTGATTTTCGACAAACCATCAAAATATGCACTAAAAGCTTAAAATATGCTCTTATAATCAAAAATATGCCCCTTAAACCAAAAAATGCCCAAATATGCAAAAATATGCACTAAAAACTTTGAGTATTTCATCATAAACGTTATGAAATGTATTTTGTACTTAACAAGCATACGATAAAGTTAACCAGAAAAAATGTGCAAATGCATGAAAGTCCTTGCTCTAGTTATTAACTAAGAGTATATTGCAACGAAATAGGAAATCGAGACTATGATTAAATTATTATTTTGTATTAAAACAAGTTTGTACACTTAAATATACCAAAATCTAACTTGTATAATATGTACTAATCAAGTATCCATTTCCTACATCATTGTTGAAGTGTATAATTGTTATATTGTATTATTGTTGTTAAAATACATACAAACTTGGCTGTTTTTGAAACGACATTGTAAAATGTTTATTATTATCCGTTTGTAATAAATTATTAAAATGTTGCAGGTTCCTTGGTGTTGGGGGAAACACTGTTTTCCTTATTTGCTGCATCCTTTCAGCAGCTTGGGAAAATGTATAATTTTCAGCTCCTTCAGGATGGCTGTTGTATTAAACAGTTATTTTATATAGGTATGTGATGGTTATTTTAAAGTTAATTTATTTTTAAAGTTACCTAACAATTGCTTTTACATATAAAGATCGTGCTGAGTATGGCCGAGCAATTTGTTGAACACATCGATTTCCAATTGAACTGCGGAGTTCCCTCATTTCTGTATCTGATGGTCGCACGTCATGGTTATGTAACCTCCACAGTTAAAAATGTTTATTATTTTCATCAGAAGAAATTGAACCAGTGGCTGGGCATCTCTCTTTACATTTTAAGTACCTAATTTAAAAGAAATTAATTTAACTATGAATTTCAAATGATAACGCAAAATAGTCTTATTAAAATATTTTATGACTTACACTTTGTCTTCTAATCTTTTACTTTTAAAGTAAAGAAACCATAGGTTGTCTTTAATAATATGTTCATGTTGATGAACACCTGATATCAAACTATATGAATGTGGCCGTTCACCTACTGGCCAAAACTGAACATTGTCTGTAAGAAGACAAATTTTTTTTCTATAATTGAACATGACCTTTTATGATATTTTTTTTAAACAGTATACCATCAGTCGCTTCAACTTCAATCACTTCATATTGCACTATATATTAAATGGAAAAAATAATTAGTAAAATTACTCAAATTATTAAAAATATTTAGTCATTAATTACTAATCAATTATTTATTTATTTTAATTTAAAAATATTGTTAACCATGTTAGTAGTTAAATACTTAAATACATAGTTACATTAAAATATATCAATTTATTATAAAAATAATATAGAATAGGAGTGTAGAACTACCTTGTAAGTAATCGTGATCCGAAAGCTCATCAACGCCGTTAAAAGCCATGCTTTATACAAACAATTTTTAAATGAAAACAAAAATAAAATGACTGTCAATAGAATATTTAACAACACTTATTCTTTTCAGTGACTGTCAGCAGACTAAATCTTGTTCACTCAAATAATTATACCACTAGTTATATTTTATGATAAACTATGAAAAGGTCACTATGATTTCTCATAAGGAATTTCCAGTAATAAAAATTTATTTTACTATATATTGTACCACAAGCTATTCACTAGATATAACTAGATATAAGATATAATTTGTCGTATAATAGATATAACTATAGATTAGATTTCTTTCTATCCCGACTAATGTTCAAGAAGCAATTGCTGGTATACCTATATTTATATTTGAGATTTACTCTTACTAGGTGGAGTTGAACACGGTATAATATTTATGTATTAATTATAGTATTTATAGTTGAAGGCCTTCAGAGTAGTTACTAAAAGGTACTTAAATACTATACTTAACTAAGAGTTATGTGTCAGTAGGTACCAATAATCATTGAATTGATTTGGAAAAACTGTACTTTACAGTTTAATTATATATGTATCAATGTTTTTTGTATTTATATTTATTAAATGAGTCACAAGTAACATACAAGGAATTGATACCTTTAAAAAATTATGTATTAGAAAAAATTCAAGTGTCCAATAAACTTGTTGGTTAAAAAAATAATATTACACCTATAAAAATATAAAAAAATTAAAAATATAAATACACATTTCTAAAATACATCAAAATACAATAATAATATAATTCATTTCTTCTTCTGATTAATTTGTCCATATGAATGTTCAAAATGGGGGTCAATATTTATGTATGGAGTATCTTCATTGCCTTTTAGATCACTTTTTATTTGGTTAGTAACTTTTAGTGTTGGCTTATTTAGTCTTTGTTCCTCCGGTGCTTTCGTCCTTGGTTTTTTCGTGGAATAAAACCGTAGCTGTTTGTCTACATTTTTGTTGGATGATTCTCGGTTCTCTACATTTTTTATTAAGTTGCTTTCTTGTTGATATAGTACTTGTAGTAATTGAATCTATATCTAATCTTTAAATCTACTTGTATTTATTTTTTGGAGTTTCTGATCATCGAGTGAACCTACTTGTGCCACAAACATATTGTACAGTTGCTGAATTTTATTAGCAATGGATTCAGTGGATGGTATAGTAAGCTGTTGTTCGGCAGGCATTTTCATACATACTTCATCATTTTCTATGGGGATTACATATTACGACCATACTTACGTCATCATTAGTTACCATTGAATCCATTCGAACAGCGTGTATATGTTTACACATATTGTTTTTAATACTGTAGTCATAACATGTGCATGAAAACAAGTGAACACAACATTTGCACATAATACAAATTACTTTACATGAGCATGGTTAATTTTCTTTTATTAAATAATCTAATTCTAATTATTTAGATGCCACCGACCAAGTATCATCTGATATTTTAATGACTTTGTAACTAGTTTGTAGAGCAGAGCAGGGGCGTATTTAGGATTCTAAAACAGGGGGGGCTAAATCCCTATGAAAATTTCAAGCAAAATTCTTACTTTTAGTTATTACCTATATTTTTTTATATGATTATTTGTTTATTTATAATTAAAGTAACACTATTTAATTAAGACTTTTTAGTTTATTCAATTAAAAATAATTCATTAATAAGAACAAATTTGAATACAACATAGCAATTCACAATTAATATAGGTAATATAAGTAATATTATATTATAAAACAATTTCTCAAATAGATATATGTACAATAGTAATATTTTGTCATTAGATTTAAAATATAGTCATAGTAGTCATACAAATTACATTACATACCTAATATTAGAATTTTAATTTTAATTTTCTTGGCTTTTTGGCAAACTCATCAAGAATTTTTTCTTTGTTTAAGTTCTTCAGTAAATCTTTTTCAATGTTTAGTATTGCCAAATTATCAAAACGATTTTGTTCCATTCTAGATCTCAGCCAGGTTTTAATTCTCCTCATAGCAGAGAAGGAACGCTCACAAGTAGCTGTAGTAACAGGTAATATTAATGCTACTTTTAACATTTTTCTTAAATTTGGTAGTACCGATTCATTAGTAATGTTTATTAGTTCATCAAAATCCCATTCTTCTTTTGATATGCAATTTTTTGCTACCATCATTTCTGCTTTTAGTAGATCAGAATCAATTTTAAGTAACTTCTGATAGTGGTTAATAAAAGGGTCAGAGTCATTAGTATTTAGTTTTAAGAAACTATCAAGAGCATTCGCAATAGATAAACTTTCACTTGAAAACCTGCTATTCAATCCTTGAATTATGCTATCTAGAATCTCATAATATGAGTGACTTCTCCAATGTGCTTCTGGTGTTTTACTTTGTTCTTCAAAATTATCTGTTCCTACTGTAGATGTAACAATACTATCCTTAAGTAAAGAATTTTCAAAAACTTTTCTTTTTTTTTTTGAATTGGATGGAGTATCTAGACTAATTTCAAAATTTTCAGAAAATTCTGTCAATGCATCCCACAAACATTGAAATGATTGTTCGTTTCGTTTGTCCTCTAATGTCTTAGTAACACTTTTTATGATATCCAAAGCTTTACCCAAAGTCATAGACTTACTTTGGAGATTATTGCTCAAAATGTTTATATACTTCAGTACTTCATGAAAAATGAAAAGGTTAACAACAAAATGACCCTTTTTTAGGTTATTTAAGATTCCACTAGCCTCAACACAGTTAAAATCATTATTTTCTTCAACTTCAGTATCTAAAACTTCTAAAATAGAACCATAATATTGTTTTACCATATCACAATTTTCAAAACGACATGCCCACCTTGTATCACTTATCTGCATAATTTCTCTTGGTTTAATGCCTAATTGTTTTTGTATATTTATTAGTTTGTGATGAGAAGATGGTCTAGAAAAATGAATATACAAGGACTCTAGTGTATTAAAAAATAAAACTGAGCTTTTTACATGTTTACACATTCCTACTATAACTAAATTTAGTTTATGTGCAACACAATGGAAAAAAATTGCTTCTGGATGAAATTCTCTAATTTTTTTTTGAACTCCGTTTATATGGCCTGCCATTACACTAGCGCCATCGTACGATTGACCTATCATAGGCACTTGATCAATATTTAGAGTTTTTAAACTTTCAAGTATGGTATTTGAAATACCAGCTGCAGATCTTGATGTAGAGCATAAAACAAAAGACAAAAACCGTTCTTGAACCACCATATGTTTTGTGTATCTTACACAGATAGTAAGTTGTTCTTCTTTGAATGACCTGGCTTCATCGCACATTAAAGCATACATTCCACATTCTGTTATTTCTTGTACTATTTGTGACCTCACCAAACCAGCTGTTATACTTATTAAATCATTTTGAACTAAAGGACATGTGTAATTAAAATATGATGTTTCCATTTTACTAGCAAATGATGGATTATAAGTTGCTAACATACCACATATTTCTTTGAAATTACCTTGATTAAGGGATTCTTTGTTTTCAGTATGACCTCTGAAGCTTAAGCCCTGATGTGCTAAAAATAAGACTGCATCAATTATCATAAGCATGTATTTACGATTCTTTTCGACTTCTTCTTTGTAAGCATTAGACATTTGTACATGTACATTACCAGTTTTTTTAGTATTCTGATAATCTTTGTATTTTGCCAAACTAAAAAGATGATATGAACTCTTGCTATGCTTATTTAATTTTTCTGAAATTTTTTTCCAATCTTTAAAACCACTTTTAGTGAAAACTTCTTCAGAATTTGAGCTAGTACCAAAGTTACGGCAATAAAAACAGAAGACTAAATCTTTGTTTTGGCTGTATTCTATCCATGTATAATCTTTGTAGTATTTAGATGAAAATGAACGGTTTTGCTTACCAAATAGTTTTTTTGGAAATGACACAAGTAAAGGTTGATGTGGTTGACTGTCTTTATCAGCAAGTTCAAACTCAATGTCACCATTGTTGCTCGTAACTAAATAAAATAATTATAAAACAATTAACTCATGTGATAAGTGATGGTGACTTAATTAGAGCATATATAATTATAGTAAGAATTATTAAAATTTAACATATTTTGTTACCATCATTATCTGGATCATCTGGATCATCTGGTTCATCTTCATTATTATTAGGAATAAGTACACTTGGTTGATCTGAACGTTTAAGCCAAGTTTTTAACCTAATCAAACAAATATACATATACTAATTATAATATTATTACTTTTTAAGTAATACAAATGCAGTAACCATACTAACTTATATTATTATTATTATAAACATAAATATATTAAATGTAAAAACTAGTACTTACATTGTAATTTTGTAAATATGCGACAATGAAGACAATGAAGCTATTCAAAAGGTTTGAACTAGACGTGTCTCATTTCAACTTCAACTGTTAAGTGTTCGTTATTTAAAATTTAATATGATAATAGTTCTCTTCTTATCATTTTATCAGTATTATCACCATGCCAATTTCGCGCTTAACCAAATATTATATGATAGATAAGAGATATAGAATTTTTCGGTAGCAGTCATAGACCTTTTACTAGGTCTATGGTAGCAGTCACCACGAACTATGCAGTCACGGCTATGCAGTCGTGGAATCTGGTGATAAAAATCACGGTTTCTTATCTATTTCAGTGCGGCCATCTAAGATTTCTTGAAATATTATTGTATTGGCTACAACTGAAGTTATTACACTAGTTAAAATTTACAGAATATAAATACATTTTTTGATATAACTAAAATTGGTTGGGGGGGCTATTCAAGCAACTTGGGGGGGGCTTAGCCCCCCCCCCCCCCCCCTAGCCCCCCCTTAAATACGCCCCTGGAGCAGAGCGATGTCGACTGTCAATAGCATTTACAAAATGAGTAACTTTTTAAATCCTTACCTTGAAGAGAACCAAATCTTAATTGTATAGTTTCTAACTGTTCACTTGAAGTTGGAGCCATAATTAATATAATATAACATATATTATTAAATAATATATATTATGACTTTATACTATGTAATATTTAAATTTTAAAATACGTAATAAAACGATTGTCTGATAAGGCAACTGTCGTGATAGTATGATACTGATAATAATAGTGCTGATAAGAGGCGCTGTCTCTATACGCTCGTGTACAGGCCATCTCATAGAGTATATAGAGATGCCCTATCAGAATAAGTATTATGAATTATGTGAAGCAAAACATGTCGGATTTGGTTTCCAATAACTAACAACGCAACTGATAGATAGCGCTAATTTTCAACTTTTCGTAAATCCCACCAATTTAATATTTTAAATATGTTATAATACTTTCTACTCAGAAACTATTTTAAGAACAAACCTAAGATGCTGGTGTGTTACAATAATTTAAGTATTGATAGTACTGATAATTTCCTCACCAAAAAGTTACTACCCTCCCATAACATATTATAATAGTATTTACGTATTTGTGCAAATCAAGTTCAGTTCAGTAATATTATAATAATTAATATTATATTGATAGTTATAAATAAAGGTTAATATAACCATAGAACAATATGATATAATTGAGTAATAATAATGAATAATATAATTAAATTACAATAAATATTGTATTATAGTTCATATACAATAAAATATTTTCTATAGTTTGCCTACACTGTTTTGTTTCCATTTCCGCTTCATATTATTTCAATTAGGGCTCCTCTATATACTCTATGGGCCATCTTCAGTCCGGCCGTTCAGGCAACGCACCTTTTTTGCGCGCCGAAACCTTCGATAACCAGTCGCGATGGTCTTCCGGAGTGCTTGACTTCGTGCTTGTTTTTTTAACTTGTGGTCATCAATGTGGCGGACGACGGATCGTGGAGTCGGTTGTGAACCAACTTGTTCGAAATAACGAATAACACAGTTCACGGGTATAATTGATTTTTATTAATTAAGAAGAATGGACATGAAATTCATGGAATGTGCGTCGGTCACTGCACGTGGTCGTTGTCGGTGAACAGGATCGCGTTGGACTTTCGAGACTTTTACCTACGCGTTATCCCCGTTCGTACTCACACGAAAGGTCAGTTGCAGGTGGAGAACGTACGCGCTTTCCAATCGAGCGGAAGATGGCGGTTGAAAAGGTCTTTAGGTCGTGGAGACCTTGCGCACGTCGCGCGAGTTAAAACGTGGCGAGGACCATACGTTTCGGCTAGCCGACAGTCGCAACGGACGCCACTGTGCCACCAACCACGGCAGTGACTAACGAGGGTGAGTATTGTGGTGATACTCTGGTTCACCACATTACCATTGCCATTAGGCTAATGATCGATAGAGACACACACTAATGAGTAATGTCCATTCACTACTCACACATGTTGACACATGACACCGTTCAAATATACATGTAATATAAACTGCCTAAATATTACTCCTTAAAATATGTTATGCTCTAAACCCCTTAATATAATTCTTTTAATCCCCACAGTAAACAAATTAGGACCGTTTCACTAATTTAACAATATCCAATTGGTATTAAATATTGGAAAATATAAATAAAATAAAGTAGGTAATTAATACTAGGTTTGGGACAGCTAGTAATTATATATAAACCTATCGGATCACGGGAGGTAGAATTATTGAAATATTTTTCACGCTACTGGTGGGCGACGATGGTGCGGCGGGTTCTTTGACCATCCAAAATGTCTGTAGTAAATCCCCGATTGACTGTTAAGTAACGGCGGTGATCAACGTGGTTAAGAATAACGTGTAAAGCCTAGTTTACACGATGCTAGTTTACTAGCGACTAGTAAGCTAGTTCACTATCTGATAGTAAAAAAAGCATTGTCTAGTTGAGCGTGCTAGTAAACTAGCAAACTATTTTGATACTAAACTAGTTTGCGAGTTAAGTTAAAATATTTCAACTTTACTAGCAAACAAGCACGCTATTTTATCCGATGCGAGTAAAAATAGTATCATGTAATTGGGAAATAGTTGTTTATTTTGAACTAGTAGCTTGTATTTCCCCGGTAGTGTGTGTGAAAACAACAGCAGTGAGTTTGTGAAAACACTAAAAACGATACGTCGATACCGAATATTCATTATTCAGATATTATAATAAGTTTTAGTTATTTATTGTTTCTGTTAATTTTCTTGTTGAATATATCATAAACAAATTAATGATGAGTCAAGTGAAGTGGAACAATGATGATATTTTCCAATTTCTCGATGTATACGAACAATATCCAATATTATGGAACATTAAACATAAAGATTATTTAAATAGAAACTTAAAAATCAGTAATTTTGAAAAACTTAAAAATAATTTAAGTAGTATCGGACTTGTTGTGGACAGTGATCAATTGCGTCTTAAAATTAAATCGATTCGTGACGTATACAGACAGGAAATCGCAAAAATCAATAGGAGCAAAAAAAGTGGAGCTGGTACTGATTCTTTATATAAACCAAAACTTATTTGCTTGAATCGAGCCAATACCTTTTTGAATGAAGTTACCTCAACACGTGAATCGTCGTCAAATTTGGTAAGTTTTATTTTTATTATACATTTTACTATACATTTTTCGTTTACAATTTTTATCCATCTTGTATATATGGTATTTAATTACTAAATTAATAATGTTTTTCCCAAACTGAGTGGTTATACTTGACTCTAAAATTGTAGCAATCTGATGTAAGCATATTGTAATAATTAGCATATTTTTTAATATACTTAGATTCGATCAGAATTTTAAAATTAAAATAAATATAGAAAATATAGTATAATAAATATATAGTATATATTTAACTCAAAAATTAAGAACTTACAAATATTTTATTTATATAATATTTATTATTAGGTAAGTATATTATAGACTTGCCAAATAATGAATACAATTAAATTAAATTATTAATATGTTTTAAATATTCGCAAATTAATGTATAAAATTATGTTTCATGATTAATCTGTTATCCCACATTTTTGCCACTGCCATGGAACGGAACCCTCGTTGAAAAAAAAATCTGTGTATTTTTTTCTTATGCTCTCAGCACCTTGTTTATAATTGTTGCTTCCTAATTGCGATGTTGATGCCAATCCACTTGTAAAATCACGCCACAACCCTGAAGTAACTGCGCCAGTGTTTAAATCTTCGGTGTCTACTGCATTAGATGGAAACTATGCATTTGAATTTGTCATCCGTAGCCAATTATGTAGAGCACAAACACTCCAAATAACTTTGTCCACGGTTGATGGTTGTAATTCTATTGGTCCTAAAAATACTCTAAATCGCCAAACTAATATTCCGAAAGCATTTTCGACTACGCGCCTGGCCCTTGATAACCTATAATTAAAAATTACTTCCTTATTGGATAATTTACGTTTGCTATAAGGTTTCATTAAATTTATTCTCAAAGGAAAAGCATCATCTCCTATTATGACATGTTCGTCAGGAAAACCTAGGGTATCATTTTCCATGGCTATATTTAATGTCGAGTCTCGAAATATGGCACTGTCACTTGCACGGTCATTTCCACCAATGTCTAAATAGCGGAAACAATAATTTGCATCTACCAGGGCAAATAAAATAACACTGAAGGTGCCTTTGTAATTGTAAAACGCTGAGCCGCTATTTATAGGTTTTTTAATTTGAACATGTTTTCCGTCAATTGATCCACAACACTTGGGGAAATTCCATCGTCTATCATATAATTCAGCAATTTTTGCCCATTCATCATTAGTGGTAGGTACCTACAGAGAAATAAAAATACAATACAGTAAACATTGTGTTTATATAATTAAATATTTCAAGTTTATTATACAGAATGTATAATAAGGATTTTCAATTATATTTATAATAATATTAATAACTATGTAATATTTTTATTGATTTTATTTTGGGGGGAGGGGGGGGGGTCAAAACTAAAAAACTGTCAGTAGTTTTAAAATTATATAATTATGTTTTTTTGTTAGTTTTTTTTATAATTATTTATTTATTATTTCAAAATTTCCCAATACAGACACTGAATAATCCCAACAATGGAAATTATGAAGAGCCTCAAAACAGACTGATTCAACTGAAGTAAATGAATTACAAGAGACTACTTTTAATTCTTCGAGTAGTATGAATTTTTGTGGAGAACTTTCTTCTGAACAAGAAAAATCGCCGGAGAAAATGGAACCACCAAAATTTACACCACGTAAGAAGAAACGTTCTGATGAACCTCTTCTTGAAAATGCATTAGCTAGTTTGGATGAAATGGCTGGGAAAATAAAAAATGAAGACGCTTGTGATAAATTTGGAAAATATGTCTCTTCACAGTTACGCGAACTACCATTACGTCGAAGAATTCTCTTACAGCAGGAGATGCAAACTGCTATTACTAATTCAATTCTACGCAATATTTCATCAGATGATATTCCAACACAGTTAATTCAACATCCATTTACATCACCAAATACAATTGTAACTTCAAACTCATCGAACATTTCTGAAGAAAGTCAAGCGGCTTCAACACATTCCGATTATAGTTCAACTGATGAAACAATCGATGTTATTAAAAAAGCTATGGACAATACATTCGACGATTTTGTATTCGATTACATCAAATATAGGTATAATAGATCGTACTACTGTATTCAATTCCTAATAATTTTTTATAATTTTACAATTAATCTTATATAATAAAACGCTAATAACGCGTATAAGATCCGCGGGGAGCGCTCACGGCACTCCGCGTTTCTTCCATGACGACCAATCACAATACTTCCCTCGCGTTCGCTATAAATTCCGCTCGCTTATCTCCCTTTTCCTTATCGACGAATATTTTCGAACATTATTATTATTATTATTAAAAAAAAACCCGTGTTTTTCAATTTTTTGACGTGATAATAACGTCTTATAAATCGATTACCCCGCGACCGTCGGGCGGAGTGGGGGGACCCATTAAACGAGTAATTATTTTTGACGAAGTATAACTTAGCCGGTATTCGACTTAGAGACCCCGTACCAATGGGCATCTCAATTTTTTAGGCCCCAGATGAATTTTCAACATTAGGGAACCAAAGCCCCCACCCCCCCCCACATTTTGAGTTGAGTATAACTCGGCCGGAATTCAAGTTAAAGACCTCGGACCAAGGGGGAACCCATTCTTTTTATGAATACTACCGTTTTCCGCTTTAGGGAACCTCCTCCCCCCTTTTTGGATTTTGCTTTTTTTGATGGATTTTGGTCCGGGAGAGTACTAACACCCACCTCGCCAAGGGGAAACTCGGGGTTTTGAGTTTTTGATAGGATTTATTGGGATTTTCTTAAATATTGTTTTTATTGATAAGGAAAGTGATAAGAATTTTATTTTATCGCCGCGAGTCATACATTTGCCTCGAAATTTCATCTGAGTAGGTGGCTAGGTTGGTTAGGCGTTAGGATAGGTGACTCGAGGGTCGTGGGTTCGAAACCGCCGTCCGGGATTTTCGGTTATTTGCGGCGGCCGTACTAAATCGAATTTCTTATTTTTGCGGTTTTTTTTTTTCGTCACATTTATCATTTTTAACGAAAGTGTTAATTTTTTTTTTAAATTTGCATTATATTATTATATATATTATTATTATTCGTTTGACGATATTTATTGGGCAAAAAAATTATTATAATTAACATTTACCGACGCACCTACATGTTTTTTTTAAATTTGCATTATTATATTATATATATTATTATTATTCGTTTGACGATATTTATTGGGCAAAAAAATAATTAAAATTAACATTTAATTAATACTTGATTTTACCGACGCACCTACATGTTTCTTTTATTAACACATTATAATAACGTATAACTAACCTACATGTAGTACCTACTTGATATATTACAGTTTTTACGTGATTCCGATTTGGTTAAATACTGCTACAGATTATAAATACTATATTAAAAAATAGTACGACTATATTTGCCGTTTTTTTTCGAAAATTCGAGTCCCCGGGTGGAGTAGTGTGTCAGAAACGAGAGTAGGTACCGTGTAGGTATCGCTATATACAGGCATATATACATGCGCCTCGAGGTTCGATTTTTTTCGCAAATCTCGCGTCTTGAACGTCTGAAGGTGGCGGACATGGTGGTCCGCTCAAACGCCCTTAAGAGTCATAGATTTGGCTCCTAATTTCATCTCGGTAGGTGGCTAGGTAGGTTAGGCGTTAAAACGGGTGATTCGACGGTCGTGGTTTCGAACGCCGGCGGGGCCGTGTTAAATCGAATTTCTTTTTTTTGCGTTTTTTTTTTCGTCACATTTATCATTTTTAACGAAAGTGTTAATTTTTTTTTTAATTTGCATTATTATATTATATATATTATTATTATTCGTTTGACGATATTTTTTGGGCAAAAAAATTATTATAATTATCATTTACCGACGCACCTACATGTTTCTTTTAATAATACATTATAATATAACTAACCTACGTGTAGTACCTACTTGATATATTACAGTTTTTACGTGATTCCGATTTGGTTAAATACTGCTACAGATTATAAATACTATATTAAAAAATAGTACGACTGTAATATGACCGCTTCATTTGCCGTTTTTTTCGAAAATTCGAGTCCCGGGGTGGAGTAGTGTGTCGGAAACGAGAGTATGTGTAGTGTATTCATTTATAGATACCTACGTTTAATAGGATAGTAGTACATTTCAATAAAATTTGTTATTCACCAATATAATTATCTATTTGTTAATTTGACTTAATTCTCATAATTAAATAAATATACATGGAAGGTATATTTTAGAAAATATCCAATCAGAAAATTAGATTTTGTCGACTTATTTGTTATAACCGCGAAAACATAACAATGATTACATTGATTACAGTGAAGCCTAACATAAAACACCTGATAACTGTTCTCTATAATTATCAACAAATACAATTTTATTACCTCCTGTATACTTTTTCATATTTGAACGGCCGTTTCGAGCACTTTTCGCTGTAGGCGGATTGTCCGTTCGGGAATCGGATTTCACCCGAGATAGCTAGACACTCAAACTCAGAATCCGAATTTCCGATTTCAACACACATACGAGAACCGGACACACACGCCCGGTGCATGGTCTGCGATCCGACGTAGTCGGATTGCCTACCTGACTAGCTACTTGCATACGAGCGACTTACACCCCCAGTGTCCCCCACTGCATCCGACACTCGGGAATCGACTTTTACCCGAGATGACTGATAGCTAGATACTCAAACTCAGAATCCGAATTTCCGATTTCAACACACATACGAGAACCGGACATACACGCCCGGTGCATGGTCTGCGATCCAACGTAGTCGGATTGCCTACCTGACTAGCTACTTGCATACGAGCGACTTACACCCCCAGTGTCCCCCACTGCATCCGACACTCGGGAATCGACTTTTACCCGAGATGACTGATAGCTAGACACTCAAACCCAGAATCCGAATTTCCGATTTCAACACACACACTCAAGAACCGGCATACACGAATGGGGCATGGTCTGCGATCCGACGTAGTCGGATTGCCTACCTGGCTGGCTGTGTCTTACGATCGACTTGAATCGCGTGACTTACGACTAGACACTTCCGAGTTTAAAAATTACCGCTTAAAAAGTGCTGCCAACACGACAAAACATAATACCCGACGACCCCCCTTCCCCCCGCAGGCTGGATCAAAAAACCCAGCATAGCCGACAAAGATGCACCACCGCCCACACAGTCTTTCCGCCGTAGGCGGGATGACAAACACCGGAATCTAGTATTATAATATTTTTTCAGTGTACTTAATAATAAACACAATAATAATATCTGATTTAATATAATCTAATAATTACCTAACATTGCTTTGATACTATTGATTTACAATTTAATTATGTTTTACTAACCTTTAAATATGATTTAAGAGCTTCTGTTATCGCATCAAGAACTTCGGGCAAAAATTTTGAAATTGTACATGCTGGTACTCTGAACAAATATTGTAAAGACTTGAATGAATCTCCCGTTGCTAAAAAACGTAATGTTATCTCAAGTTTTAACTTGGCCGGTAGTGCCATTCGCATATTTGTATCTTGCTTTTGTATCATGCTTCTAGTGAGACACAAAAGATTTTCAAAGTTGTCTGTACTCATTCGCATTATGTTTCTATATGACAGTTGATCATCCACCGCCAACTCCTTAAGTAAGGTAGAAGAAGCGCCTAAATAATGTCTGTTAGAAATCCATTTTTTTACCCACAATCTCTTCTTAGTTTTTTTTTCTTCTTTGAAGTTCAATTTTTATTGCGGTTCTCAGAAAATGTATACACGCCAAAACAAATTTGTTGTCCATGGCATAAACACAAATATATCACAAACTTATTATAGATGAAAAAACAAATTAAATCAAACAGCAGTGGGTACTTCACGATGACCAGTCATGAGGCTGTACTGACTACTGGTACTAGTGGTACTTAACTACTAGTAACTACTAGTATTTGAATATCGTGTATATGAAATAACTATTTTACTATATACTAGTGAGATAGTAAGATAGTATGGTGTTTCACTAGTCGCTAGTAAACTAGCATCGTGTAACATACGCTTAATAAACCAAAAACTATCCATCCGAGTTGAGTGTCTAAGGCCGATGGAAGGCCGAAGTGATGTTCAACGCCAGCGCGCAAGCGGTCAAGACTCAAGACTCGGTAAAATATCTGCGCCAAATAGCACGTCGACGCGTGACCGAGATGTTAATACTTGGATCTCACTCTCGCTGGTAACCGTATAGATGGCATGGCGACGGTGATTTGCGTGCGAATTACTAAATCAACTGACGGGAATAAATGTGACTTTAAATGCGACGAAAATAACTGGTGACACCTTGCACGTGAGCCACTGAACTTTACGCAAAATCCACGATGTCAGATTTACATCAGTACATAACAGGTGGCGCATGTCAAGTGGTAAAAGCATGTAAACATTTTTTAATTTAATTTTTAATTTATTGAGGGAGGAAAATATTTAAGCATTAAACAATAGCCCATGTGTTCGTTACATATCATTTGGTAGAAATTAAGATAGTACCTAAATACAAATTGTTAAAAGTTAAAACAGTGTAGGTACCTACTGCCAATCGTCCAAACATTGCTCGTGTGTACATGCTTACCATATGCTCTTGGTATCTGAGAGAAACAAATTTTATGTTGGCACACGACGAATGTATTATAATTTTACAATTTAAAAATTTGTATTTTTCATAAAAAATATTTTTCAAAAATGTAGAATTAAGAGTAATATATAATTAATTGATTTTAGTAGGGGGCCTTCAGATATCCTACATATAATAAGAATCAACACTGTTAAAAAAATATTTGAAGAATAGGTACAATATAATATAAAAACCTGAGAAACGTGAATAATATTTTTTATTTTTTTTAATAATTAAGAGAAAATGTATTAAAAAGTAAATTTCTTCAAATACTCATTCAAAATAATTTTAATTCAAAACATAAATCTTACTTTAATGTTAATTAGCCAGGTTCCCCATCGTGTGATTACGGGTTCGGGAGGCAATGGAATTCCTGGAGCAAGAGTCTTAAACATTTGTGTACGATATGGTGATTTAAAAAATATTTTTTTTAAGCAACTTATAAGTTTATTGACATCTAAAAAATTTGATCTTATTTCTTCCGCAACTCTATGAATTGCATGCGCCACACAGGTTACGTGCACCATTTTTGAATACAGAGTGCAAATAGCTCTTCCTGCTTTCACCATATATGGGGCAGTATCAGATACATAAATGAGGACATTATCGTGTTTTATTCCTTCAGGCCATAATGTAAACATGGCTTTATCGAACGCTTTTGCAATGGTTGAATGATTTGTTTTTTCCAAGACATCAGAATATAACAAAAATATTTTTCCTGAATTTTCTGCTTCCATTGTACCAATAACTATATTTACTACATAACGGCCTTTAACATCTGTTGTTTCATCTACACTAACCCAAATTTTTTTATCGCCTACATAATGTCTAATATTATTTCGTATTGTATTTAAATAGCATTTTTCAACATAATTTTTAAGCAATGTAGACTCGTCTGGGATTTTATATTTTTTTTCTAAAAAATTTCTAAAATTTGTGTTATTTAATTTAGCAAGTGAAATATTAGCTGCTAATAATGTTTCACAAAGTTAAATGACGATTGACCACTATTATTTGTTAAATTAGATAATAGTACTTGATTGTTTTGTTTCACTTCATTCAATTCATTGAATTCCACGAGCATGCTTATCTCGACTGATGTGTTGTTGAATTGTAAATTTCTTTTCGGAGGCAACTGCAACATTACAAACTTTACAAAAAAGCACCATACGGTCCGTAGAAAAAAACTCACTCGTAAAACTACGTAAACGGCTTCCTACTGTTGACCAGAACAATGACTAGCATTAGCGATTACTAGTGTTCGGGACTTCTTGCACTTAAAATTATCGAAATATGCAGTCAAAATCGTCAAAATATGCAGCTAATTTTTTATAATTTTTTTTAAAAAATGCATAAAATAATATATTAATAATAAATTATTATTATAGACAAAAGAAATCTAAAAATTAGGTAGGTACTTAATATAATAAAAATAATTTTTACACGGGTTACTCATCCCTCATCTGTATCGTCTTCATGCTCATCTGTAACAAAAAACAAAAAAAAAAACATTAATAAAGGTAATATTATTATGTTTAATAAGTTTTTTCGTAATTTTGCCATTAAAATTATTGCACTGTATGGTAAGACATTTTCTTATGTTCTAAATCTAAAATTTGAATGCACGGCGATTATCGGTCAGCATATAATTTCACCCATAGTCTGTATTGAGAAGAAAAATGGAGAGATTCGATTATGCCTAGATGCCAGAAAAATTAACACAGTCATAATACCGGATCGAGAATGTCCAACAAATATGGACGACATTCTCATCAAGTTCCAGGGAACGAAATACCTAAGCTCGATTGACTTGACGGCAGGTTATTGGCAGTGTCCACTAAAAGCCGAATGTCGGGAAATTACAGCATTTTTGCATAAAGGCCGTAATTATCAGTTTAAGGTATTACCTTTTGGATTAATCAATTCAGTTGCCGAATTCCAAAAAATCTTAGATTAAGTATTAGGACCGGAAATTCTACAATTTGCCGCCATATATGTCGATGACATACACATCACTTCCACGAGTTTTCAAGAACATATTTGTCACTTAGAACAAATCTTCGAAAAGTTTGCACAACACCACATCACAATCAACAGAAAAAAGTCACAATTTTTGAAAAAACAAGTGATTTTTCTGGGTCACATAATAAGTGAAAAAGGGATATCTATGGACCCAGATAAAATACAAACAGTGATGAACTTCCAGCCGCCCAAGACGAAAAAACAGGTACAAGCATTCATTGGTTTCATCAATTTTTACAGAAAATTCATCAAGGATCTATCTCAAGACACAGGACAACTTAGTAAATTAACCAAAAAAGATGCAAAATGGACATGGGGAACTATCCAACAGCAAGCTTTTGACAACATAAAACAAAAATTCATCGAGGACGTAATAATTCAATTCCCAGATTTCAAGAGAGAATTTCACCTGAACACCGATGCCTCAACTACACACCTCGGGGCGGAACTTTATCAAATTACCGAAGAAGGGCAACACCAAACCCTCAGTTTTGCCAGTAGAACACTTAAAGCAGCGGAGCAAAACTACAACACCACGGAGCTTGAATTGCTTGCAATAGTTTTCGCATGTAAAAAATTTAGAAATTATTTACTTGGACATAAGACTAAAATATTAACCGACCATAATGCACTTACATTCCTAAATACGTGTCAACTACTCAATGCTCGACTGGTCAGATGGGCCACATTTCTCCAGGAATTTCAGTTGGAAATAACGCACATTCCAGGGAAGGTAAATGTCGGTGCCGACACATTAACCCGGTATCCGCAAGTCCTCACCGGTGACGCAACAACCAGCAACAAAATAATCGTAATTAACAAATTATCACTGTTAGAATTCAGCAAGGAATTAAAAGAACAATTCAAAAACTTGGAAGTGTTGCAACAACAGGATGAACATATCAAAAAACTCAAACAGAGAATCGCGCAAAGGACCAATCATAATCTCATGATGCATCAGAACTTACTATTTCGCCAAGCACAATCTGGTGAATATCAGATCATGGTACCAGAAGTAGCAGTAAAACAGCTGATGGAAGAAACACACAAAATATACGGCCATTGCGGGACGTATAAAACATTTAAACTACTGCAGCAGGATCACCAGTTCAAGAACATGTATCGGACGATTAAACAAATCATCAAAACTTGTGATCTGTGCCAAAAAGCGAAAACAAGCAATATAACGGCTAGGGGACCGACGTTAAGCCTCCTACCCACCGAACCAAGGGAAATGGTATCTGCCGACCTGATGGGTCCACTACCCAGGGGACAGGGTGGATGCAGATACATCCTAGCAATACTGGATGTGTTTTCTAAATACATCAAACTATACCCATTAAAAAGAGCCACAACCGACACCATAGTCAAACGACTAGTGAACGATTACATACCAACAATTGGATTGTTTAAGAAAATCTTAACCGACAATGGAACGCAGTTCACCAGTAATAAATGGAAAAAGATAATGCAAGGATTGAAAATCACTAACCTGCACACCACAATTTACCATCCAGAGAGTAATCCTGTAGAGAGGGCGAACCGTGAAATTGGTCGATTACTACGAACCTACTGTCATAAACAGCATACGAATTGGCTAAAATGGTTGGACAATGTCGAGTATTGGATCAACCATACTACTCATAGAACCACTGGTTATACACCAAATCATATAATGTTTGGAGAAAAAACAAAATTATCAATAAGCAAATTGGTAGTTTTTCCTGAAAAAGAAGCTATGGAGAAACCACCTGACATCATACAAATAGTCATGAAACGTTCAAAAGAAAAAGCTGATCTGCGAAACGCATACAAAGACAGAGATAAACGATTCCCTCAGTATAACGTGGGCGATCAGATCCTGATCAAAGAACATAGGTTGTCCTCCGCTGAGGACAAGGAGACACATAAATTATTCCTGATCTACCACGGACCATACCAGATACAAGCAGTGCATGATAACAACACGGTAACTATCCAGATCAATGGGAGTTCACGAACAATCAATTTCAAAAACATCAAGAGATATTACGAACCCGTAATTGAAATCTCTCAAACAATACATATTTAAAAAAAAATAATAATAATAAAAAAAAATAAAAAAAAAAAAAAAATCTATCTATATATATCGACCAAAAAATAACTTGCTTGTGAACTCATGTAATAAACTTTTAAATTCTTATGTAACCCAAATACCCCCCCCCCCCACTATATAGGAACCCAGAAAGATGCTGGTACAAATTCCCTTAAACAGACTGCGAAGCCGAGTACCGCTGAACAAAATTGAGATCACCAACATCGACAGATTATTAACCACCGAGCAAAAGCGAAAGATAGCCACGTTCTACCGATAGGAAGAGGCCAAACGAACCAAATATGCTCAGGAACCCTTATGGAACATGCCACCCACCATCCACGCTATTCGAAGACCTTCGGCCACCGGAATGACATGGGATGATTTCATTGCTCATTGGGAGAGAAGACCAGAGAAGAATTCTATTCCAACTTGTAATGAAAACGCAACGCTTGATTTATTGTATTTATATTATTGTGCGTTTATTTTCATCATCTTTTTGTTATACAGATACAATTTTGATATTTTGTATTACAGTATTAATTATTATACTCTTTCGAGTTTACAATATAAAATAAGTTAAATGTGGGTCAACATAAAACATGGGGGGGAGAAAGCGTGTACATATAACTCACGGTTTAATGTGGGGTTTTGAGGTGGCTCTACTCGGATGGCGGCTTTCCCTCACGACAACTGTTGGCTGGGTCTGTGGCAATAAGCTTCCACGGACAGTGGCGCGATCACGGCGGCGCGGTAATAATATGTTATTACCGGCGGGAACGGCTCGACTTTGATTCAACAGGGACTCTGCTCGGAGATATGTTGAACTTCGAACGACTCGGATGGTGCGACGTCTTCCTTGGTCTGCTCGGCAATTGATAGTCGTACGTTGGTCGGTGTTACTGGCTACTCAGCTCGGACGGCGGCGCTCAGCGACTACGGACACGTACCAACTTGTTCCAACTCGAACGCACTGCGACGGTGGTGGAGTGGAAAGGAATGCCGGGACAGACTATACGAATATCCGTTATTGCCGATATAAATATTGGCCGGCTTATTCAAGTCTGGGGACGATAGGCTGTTGGTCGAGTACTTATTATTATCCGTTCATGCCAATATAAATATTGGCCGGCTTAATATTGTTCCTCGCAGCGGGGAGAACGTTGTTTGAACGGTGGCCAGCGGCTTGTATTTCTGCTATGCCGGGCATGCTGGTTCCATGTTGTTTGGTTGTAAAATCGTATATTACGTTGTTCATCATTCGGCGGTTTGTTGAGGTGTTTGATATTGACTGGAGTATCTAACTTATAGTTTAGAACTCAAGGAAAAGGAATATGTCACCCGCGACTTGATCGGAGGTGTGGTTCGGTTAGAAAACTCGATTTCCCGGTGGGCGGCGGGCACTTGTGCAATAACGCGTGGATGCGCGCTATCTATATATTATAGCGGCAGACGCGCGTAGTCGCAGAATCGGTTTCTCGCGGCGGCACTCACTTGTGTTGTGGTAATGTATAAAACCAGAGCGCGCCACCTATTTGGTCGCTCCGTTTTATCTCATTACATTGTCCCCTTTTTTATTTTTTATTTTTTTTTTGTTTTTTATTGTGTTTTTTAATTTGAATATTCCGCAATGAGGGGGACAATCAAAAAAAATAAAAATAAAAACTTTGAAATTTTGATTAATTTGAATGGATTTTAATAGACTTCTAACGTTTGTTTTGCCGTTTGTACTCGCGAGTAGCTTTTGTCTTTACTTTGTACAAGAGACGTTTCAGACGGATATTTGACACATTCTGGAACTCTTTTAGGTACTTTTTGGTCTCCCATAGACGTTGTCGGATTTCTCGAATAGCTTCCGGTTTATTAGTGATCATCTCCCGGATTCTTTCGATGATGACCTCTGATTCAGTTTCACTGTGTTGTGATGAGGTTTCTGTCATCTCATTTTCCTCCTGGGTCGTGCTGGTTACTTTCTGAATAATAGGTGGAGTTTTGAGTGTATCTGGTGTCTTCTCCCAACATTTGAGGAACTCGACCCACGTCATTTCGGTTGCGGAAGGGCGTCTTTGCGCCACCACAGTTGGAGGTATCACGTATACAGGTTCCATGTTGTCGATGGCAGTAGGTTCGTAGCAAGCGACCAATTTCGCGATTTGCTCGTTCTACAGGATTACTTTCCGGATGATAAGTTGTGGTATGGAGACTCTTGACTTTTAATCCAGTCATCATTTTCTCCCACTTGCTACTGGTGAATTGGGTTCCATTATCCGTCAAGATTTTTTGAAATAATCCAACAGTTGGTATATATTCGTGTATCAGCCGTTTGACAATTGTGTCCGTTGTGGCTCTTCTCAGAGGATATAATTTGATGTATTTTGAAAATATATCCAATACTGCTAATATGTATTTGCAACCTCCTTGACTTCTTGGTAAGGGCCCCATTAAGTCTACTGATACCATTTCTAGTGGTTTTGCAGGTAGGAGACTTAACGTTGGTCCCCTAGCCACTATGTTGCTGATTTTTGCTTTTTGACATAGATCACATACTTTAATTATTCGTTTGATGTTGCAGTACATATTCTTAAATTGGTGATTTTGCTGTAATAGTTTAAATGTCTTATAGGTTCCGCAATGCCCGTAGATCTTATGTGTTTCTTCTACCAGGGGTTTGATCAATACTTCTGGTATTAAAAGTTGATATTCCCCATTGGGTGACTGGCGGAACAACAAGTTCTGATGAATCAATAAATTGTGATCGGTTCGCTGCGTTACGCGTGATCGGAGTTTTTTGATATGTTCATCTTCTTTTTGTAATACTTCTATATTTTTGAAATGTTCCTTTAACTCATTGCTGTAATCCAATAATGAGAGTTTGTTTATCACTATTGTCTTCTCCCTTGTGGTGGGGTTATCAGTTGGTGATTGTGGATATCGTGTTAATGTGTCGGCACCTATGTTTTCTTTCCCAGGAATGTGTATGATTTCTAATTGAAATTCTTGGAGATATGTTGCCCATCGGATTAGTCGAGCGTTGAGTAACTGACAAGTATTTAAAAAGGTGAGTGCGTGGTGGTCGGTGAATATTTTAACTTTATTGCCAAGTAAATAATTTCTGAATTTCTTGCATGCAAAGACAATTGCTAAAAGTTCGAGCTCAGTGGTATTATAATTCTGTTCTGTTGGTTTCAGAGTCCTGCTTGCGAAACTTAAAGTCTGATGTTCTCCTTGGTCAGTAATTTGATAGAGTTCTGCTCCGAGGTGTGTGGTTGAAGCATCAGTGTTAAGATGAAATTCTCGTTGGAAATCGGGAAACTGAATTATTATGTCTTCAAGAAACTTTTGTTTTATGTTCTCGAAAGCTTGCTGTTGCGTGGTTCCCCATACCCACTTTGTGTCTTTTTTGGTTAGTTTGCTCAGGTGTCCCGTGTCTTGTGATAGGTCCCTGATGAACTTTCGATAAAAATTAATGAATCCGATGAAAGCCTGTACTTGCTTTTTTGTCTTCGGTGGTTGAAAGTTTTTTATCGTTTGTATTTTGTCTGGATCCATGGATATTCCTTTCTTGCTGATAATGTGACCCAGAAAAACAACTTGATTTTTCAAAAACTATGATTTTTTTCTGTTGATGGTTTGGAAGGTTAGATTGAAGGAATTGGTTCGGTTAGAAAACTCGATTTCCCGGTGGGCGGCGGGCACTTGTGCAATAACGCGTGGATGCGCGCTATCTATATATTATAGCGGCAGACGCGCGTAGTCGCAGAATCGGTTTCTCGCGGCGGCACTCACTTGTGTTGTGGTAATGTATAAAACCAGAGCGTGCCACCTATTTGGTCGCTCCGTTTTATCTCATTACAAACTCAACCACAAGAAACAGCGCAAGTTATTGAGAGACAGGAAAGGGAATTGTCACCCGAGTCCAGTCACTTAAGCGAAACAGAGTCAGAGGTAATCATCATGACTATAAAACATATTATAGATCAATACCCGAAGTCCTAAACAGAGATCAGAAGAAGCATCTTAAAAGTTGGAGCATACCTGAAAGACTTCGAAAACATCTCCAAGACTCGTTTTAAAAGATTAATTTACAAAGAAAAGAACCAACGAATCAAGCGCACGAAGCAGCAACATCAACCCTAAAACAAATAGTTCATCCAGCAGCCCTATCGCCACATTAAAATTTTAAAGTTTTTATTTTTTATTTTTTTTTATCCCTTCAGGATTTCATAAATCAACATATTTTTAAAAAAAATAATAATAAAAAAGGGGACAATGTAATGAGACACAACGGAGTGTCCAATTAAGTGGCGCACTCTAGTTGTCCTCCTTACCAACGGTCAAACATCGCCCGCCGCGTCGAAACATCGACCGCCCAACCGCAACCTCAAACTATAGATAGCGCTCCGCCGCGCAATGATTAAGAACGCACGCCGCCCGCGGAAAACATGAGTTTTCCGTGGGAACCAATAAAGCTAGCAAAACGCTACGTACATATTCAGAATCAGCGTTATTTCCACCACAATCAGGTAATCACCAAACATTTTGAACAATGACCTGAAGCCCCGAATCACGCAAGATGTCAAATGGTATTTGAGACGGGACCAGCGAGCCTCGAATGGCATAAATACAGGCCGCTGGCTGCCGTAGAAACAAACAGTTCTCCAGCTGAGAGAAGCGAGAATAGCAAGCCGGACGGTATTTATACCGCCAAGAACGGATGCTAATTTCAAAACTCTACTACAGCAATTCCTGCCCACTAGACTCAATGAGCCGGACGATATAAACTATCGTCTAGAACGGACATTGTACAGTCTTTCCCGGCACTCCCTACGCTACCGACCATCAAGTGTCGTAAACGCCGAGCCGTCGCCACCGTCGTCCGATCATTTGTTCGTCACCGCCCGTCAGAGAAGGTCAACCGACTCCTGTGCCGCCGTCCGACCACTGTGCTGTACCAGTAACTTGTCCGCCACCGTCGATTTGAGAACGCCGAGCCGAAGGTGCCGCCGTCCAAACCACGTGTCTGCCGACCTGTATGAAGTTGTTAACGCCGAGCCGTAGCTGCCGCCGTCCAACCATCTACTCACGGTCTGTCGAGAACGTCGAGCCATAGCCGCCGCCGTCCGATCATTTACCTACCTCTTGCCGGTAGAGTTGAATTTGTCCTCACGAACCCACGAAACAAACCGTGAGTACATGTTCATGCTGTCCCCCCCTTTGGTTAATGTAAACCCCTATATTAAACTATTTTATATGTACACTCGCAAGAGTAAAATTGATTCAAAAGAAATACTGTATTACAAATGTTGAAATTGTATCTGTATAACGAATTATTACGTATGTGAAATAAACGTGAAATTATAAATCAAATAAAAATACCAACACGTTATTTTCCTTACATGTCGTTTGGATCACTTTGATCGTACTCGTTATTGATAAGATTAATTTTACCTCCAAGAATTACGCATTATCATACATGTGACAAATGTTATCATTTTTGTTTTTATGAAAAACGTTATCAGATTTTCATTTACACACTCAATGTAATTACTTGAAAACACATTATTTGTATAGTTATGATATATTAATATAGATCTGCAAAATTCAAAACGAATAAAAAGGTTTTTTTTTGGTACTTATTGTTATCTAAAACATGTTAACTACGTTTTTAGTATGAATTGGAGTGAATAGGAACACACATTATTTTATGTTTTGATTTTATAATTTATCAACATGCCTCGAATATATATGAGAACTGTACGTCAAAAGCCATTAGCCAAGTATACATCGGAACAAATTGATGCTGCATTAGGTGACATCGATGCCGGACTGACATATCGTAAGTGTTCTGATAAACATAATATTCCCGTTACTGTGTTACATAGACACAATAAATTTAGAAAAGCTAATATAGGTAAACATTTAAAGAAACAAGGTGGTCAATGTACTTTGTCTGAGTCGGTAGAAACATTAATAGTCGAACAACTAATAACTTGTTCTTCGTGGGGATATCCTCTAAGCGTTATAGACTTAAGATTTATTGTAAAATCGTATTTAGATAGGAAAGGTAAGACTGTCAAAAAATTTAAAAATAATATGCCTGGACCCGATTTTGCTCTTTCTTTTACCAAGCGTCACAGACAAATGTTAAGTCAAAGATTATGTCAGAACATTAAACGGGCCCGAACTCAAGTTTCAAAACAATGTATAAATTCGTATTTCGATAATTTAGAAAAATCGTTAAATAATGTGCCACCAGAAAACATCATAAACTATGATGAAACAAATCTTACAGATGATCCTGGTAGAGCAAAAGTCATTACTAAAAGAGGCTGTAAGTATCCGGAAAGAGTTATGAACTCGAGCAAAGCATCAACTTCCATAATGTTTGCTTGCACTGGGAACGGGGAACTTCTCCCACCATACACTGTCTACAAAGCATTGTATTTGTATGACTCGTGGATTGTCGGTGGTTCCCCAAAATCGAGATATAACCGTAGTAAATCGGGGTGGTTTGATTCACAATGTTTCGAAGATTGGCTCATAAAAGTGGTAATACCGTTTGTAAAAAATAAACCAGGGAAAAAAATCTTAATAGGTGACAACCTTTCGACTCACTTGACAATAGAAGGAATAAGAATGTGTTCCAAATATAATGTAGAGTTTGTATTTTTACCACCTAATTCAACCCATCTAACACAACCACTGGACGTCGCTTTTTTCCGTCCGTTAAAAATAGCTTGGCGTAAAATTTTAACAACATGGAAGTATGGAGCTGGTAGTAAGGAGTCAAGTGTCCCTAAAGAACAATTTCCGAAACTATTGAACAATTTAATGGATGCAATTAAAGAAAAACAAATTGTGAATATACAATCTGGATTTAAAAAGTGCGGAATTATACCCATGAATAGGGATTCAGTTTTAAATATGTTACCTGAAGATGGACCTGACTGTAGTACCTGTAATTCTGATAGCGAAATAATTAATGATTCGTTGGTATCAATTCTTAAAGCAATGCGATACCCATCCACTCAACAACAAACAACAAGAAAAAAACGTAGGCGACTTGATGTTGAACCTGGTAAGAGTGTCAAATTAAAAGAGAGCAGTG